CCCCCCCGTTTTGGGTCCGTTGTCCCCCCCTTTCCAGGCACCAACGTCTACATCACGCGGGCGCAGCTGATGAACTGCCACGTCAGCGCGGGGACGCGGCACAAAGTCCTCCTGCGGCGGCTCCTGGCCTCCTTCTTCGACCGGTGAGCGAGGATTTCACTGAATTTCACTGAATTTCTAGAGTTGGAAGGGACCATAGAGATCATCTAGTCCAACCCCCCTGCTGCAGCAGGATTGCCCAGAGCTAGAGCGTGTTACTCAGGAGCATCCAGGCGGGGCTTGAAAATCTCCAAGGAAGGGGACTCCAAGGATGGTCCCCTTCTCCCCTCCCCGACACGGTTTTTGGGGTCCTGTGGATTCTCACCCCCTTTTTTTTGGGTTTTTCCCCCCCTTTCTCCCCTTCCAGCAACACCCTGGCCAACAGCTGCGGCACCGGCATCCGCTCCTCCAGCAACAACCCCAGCAGGAAGCCCCTGGACAGCCGGGTCCTGCACGCTGTCAAGTGTGAGTGGGGGGACACCCCAGGGGACAAGGGGGGAACCCCAAGGATGGGGGGACACCGGGGAAGGAGGAACAGCGGGGAGCTCGGGGTTGGGGGGACCCACAGGGACAGGGGGGTGGGGAGCACAGAGAGGGGGTCCTGGGGGGCAGGGTGGACCTCAGGGTTAGGGGGACCCCAGAGAGAGGGGACAGTGGGGGACAAGGTGGACCCCAAGAGGGGATGATGGAGGACAGGGCGAACCCTAGGGCTGGGGAGACCCCAAAGAGGGAATGTGGGGGTCAGGGTGGACTCCAGGGCTGGGGAGACCCCAAAGAGAGAGGACAGTAGGGACAGGGAGGTCACAGGGCTGAGGGGACCCCAAAGAGGGGACGATGGGGGTCATGGCAAACCCCTGGGCTGGGGGGACCCCAAGCAGAGGGGACGATAGGGATAGGGGAGACCCCAGGGCTGGGGGGAACCCCAAAGAGGGGATGATGGGGGACGAGGCAGACCCCTGGGTGGGGGAGACCCCGAAGAGAGGATGATGGGGGTCATGGCAAATCCCTGGTCTGGGAGGACCCCAAAGAGGGGATGATGGGGGACATGGCAAACCCCTGGGCTGGGGGGACCCCAAAGAGAGGAGACGAAAGGGATAGGGGAGACCCCAGGGCTGAGGGGGACCCCGAAGAGGGGATGTTGGGGGACAGAGGAGACCCCCGGGCTGGGGGACAGGGCGCTCTGGCTGCAAACCAGACCGAGAGCCGCAGCAGCTTCGTGTCCCTGAGCGAAACCCCCTCCATGAACCCCCCGGGGTGGGCCGTGGTGGATTGAGGGGGGGGGTATGAAGCGATGTGACCCTATCCCTGTGTTGTCATGTCCCCCCCCCCCCCAGTTTACTGCCAGAACTTCGCCCCCAACTTCAAGGAGAGCGAGATGAACGCCATCGCGGCCGACATGTGCACCAACGCGCGGCGCGTGGTGCGCAAGAGCTGGATGCCCAAGGTGAAGCTGGTGATGGCCGAGGGCGACTCCTACACCTCCTTCATCAACGACATGGGCAAGCTGGAGCCCGACATCATGGGCCCCGAGCCCCCCTTCGAGCCCCCCGGCCACGAGGGTGAGGCGGGGACCCCCGGGGAGGGCCTGCAGTGACCCCCCCCTTGAGCTCCCCCCCTCCTTTCTTCCCTGGGCCAACCCCCCCAATCCTGGGTAGGGACCCCCTCCTGCAAGGGCCCTGTGGATGGGTAGGGCCCC